CCCCGCAAGCGGGCTCGACAGGGCCGGGGCCGGGGCCTTGACGGCGCTGGGGTTGGGGGGCAGCTCTCCGAGGATGGCCGGAGGGAAGGGTGGGGAGCAGGGCGGTTGAAGACCCCTGGGCAGGGCCCACCCGGAGGGGAGCACGTGATTAGCCCTGCTGGTCCCTCGATTACGGCGGTCGAGGCCTCGCGGAACCCCGGGCGCGCTCGTGGCTGCCCCAGCCAGCCCTTCTATACCCATTTTACAGACGAGGAAACAGGTTCATAGAGTTTTTAAGTGATTTGGTTAAAGCCACACAGAAAGAGGCAAAACTGAGATTAGAAGATTCTCTCCACGGGGGAAGGGGAGGAGAGATAAGGAGTGAATGGGTAAGGGAAGCAGAAAGTAACTACAGTTTGTAATGACGAACATGCTAGTAATATTGATTTGATCATTACATACTGTACACAAATACTGATCAACTGTACCTCATAAATATGTATAAATAAAAATTGAAAAAACAAAAAAGATTCTCTCCACATCTTTCCAATTTAGGGTTAATTCTGGGATTCCAGATATGGCGGGAGAGTGCTGCTTCCCTGTCTGTATCCAGAGTCCCCAAGTTTTGTGACAGCTTTTCTCCGTTTTAAGGAGGGAGATTGTCACGATTGTGCTGGAAGAAGGTAGAGCCAACGACTTAATCTTCTGTCTTACTCAAACTTGGAGCGTGCTCCGCACTGAGGGAGTAAAATGCCACCTGGCTCCGGGGTCCTGTTTCTTGGCTCCCCACTGCCACCTGTGCAGATGCAGCCAGTGCACAGTTTGGGACGAGTCACTTCCTGCACAAGCTCTTCTAAGCCAAGATGAAACTGTTGTTACTTCACTTTTAAAGTGCCAAGAGGAAATGAGACAAGAAATGTCAAAATAACTGAGGTGGGCACAGGAAGGCCTGGGGTTAGGGACTGAGGAAACACGAAGCCCTCATGCTAAGTCAGCCCAGCCCAACTCCAGACAGAAACAGGCCCACTTCCTGGGCCTCCGTTGCCCCACCTGGAAAGAGGGGCAGCACCTGCCCTTAACAGCATCTTGGTTGCTCCTGGGTTTCGACTAGGAGCTCTCTGAGGATGAGCGTTGGCTCATGTCTAAGGATCTGCTGAACTCAGAGGGGGTGAAATGAGAATTCAAATC